GGTTATGCCGTTTGCATGATGGCTACCCTCTCGCTGTTTCCTCTTGTGGTGGACAGTGTTCTAGTCTCTCTCCTCTTATAAGGATACTAATCCCATTACAGGGTCTCCACCTCCTGACTTTATCTAAGCCTAACTACCTCCCTAAGATCCCACCTCCCAGTACCATCCCACTGGGGGTTAGGGTTTCAGTGTATGAATTTTGTGGAGACAAAAACATGAAGTCCTTAATACAGATCAAAGTTCCTTTTTCTTTTGTACATGTATCCTAAGATTCCTTTCTTTTTGCTTTCTTTATCATATGTATAGCCAATTGTTACAGCAACGTTTATTGAAAAGAGTTTTACTTTTTCTGTGGAATGACCTTGCGCCATTGTTGAAAATCAGTGGGTCGTGTATGTGTGAGTCTCTTTCTGGGTTCTTTATTCTGTTCCAATAATACATGTTTATACTTTTGGTAATGCCACACTGCCTTGATTACTGTCGCTTTACATTAAGTCTTGACATTAGGTAGTGAGCATTATTCAGTTTCGTTCTACTTTTTCAAAATTGCTTTGTGTATTCTAACTTTTTTTTTCTTTTTCATGTAAAGTTTAGAATCAGCCTGTCAATCCTCCTATGATTTTGACTGGAACTACCATTAACATATAGATAGATTTGGGAAGAATTAACAGTTTTTTAGCAATATCAACATTTCCAGTTCATGAATACAGTATTTCTCTCTACATCTTCTTTGAGTCCTTCCATCAGGGTTGTATAGTGTTCAGTGTACAGATACTTCACATTTGGTTAGATTTACATCCAAGTATTTCACGGTTTTGGTGTTATTATAAATGGTACTTTAAATTTTTCAATTTCTTTTTAATAGCTAGTATATAGAAATGCAGTCGATTTTTGTATATTGATCTTGTGTTGTCCCCTTGCTAAACTCATTTATTAGTTCCAGTAGTTTTTAGGTTATTTGGGACTTTCCACGTAGATAATTATGTTGTCTGCAAATAGAGACAGCTTTCTATCTTCTTTTCCAATCTGTGTTCCTTTTACTTCTTTTTCTTGCCTGATTATATTGACTAGAATTTCTAGTACGATGTGGACTAGGAGGAGTGACAGCAAATAGCAGACATCCTTACTTTGTTCTCAATATTACAAGAAAAACAGTGTGGTATTAGCTGGATTTTTTGTTTGTTTTAAAAGACACCCTTTCCCAGATTGAGAAAGTCTCTTCTATTCTTGTTTCCTGAGTTGTTTTTAAGATCAGAAGTGATAACCGAATTTTTCAATAGCTTTTGTTGCATTTATGAATGACCACGTTTTTTGTTTGTTTATAATTCTCTTGACATGGCGAATTATAATGACTGATTTTTGAATGCTGAACTAGCCTTGAATTCCCAGAATAAACCCCACTTGGTCATAATATATTATCCTTTTTATATGTTGTTGGATTCAGCTTACTAAAAATGGAAATTTTACATGTATGTTAATGAGAAATATTGATCTGTGATTTTCTTTCTTGTATTGTCTACTGTTAGTATCAGAATAATGCTTGCCTCAGAATAATAGAAAAAATTGGGCTGTTTTCCCACCTTTTCTGTTTTCTGGATGACTTTGTGTAAACAGGCTTAACTTCTTTCTTAAATATTTGGTTGAATTCACCAGTGAAGCCTGGAGATTTCGTTGTGGTAAGATTTTTAAGTACAAATTTAATTTCTTTAATGATATATAGAGTTACAGGGCCACTCTGGCTACCTAGCTCTTGAGTATGTTTTAATGGTAGATTGCGTCTTTCAAGGAATTTGCCCATTCCACCTAAATTGTCAAATTTATTGGTTTAAAATTGTTAATAATATTCTCTTGTTTATTTTTATTTTCTATTTCCTCTTGCTTATTATTTATTTATTTATTTATAGATTCACAGGAGATATCAAAGAAGTATACAGAATAGCCCCATGCACCCTCTCCTCCGCCTTTCCAAATGGTAACATGTTGTCCAACTCTAGTAAACCATCGAAACCAAGAAATTGACCTTGGTATTATCGACAGAGCATATTCAGACTTCACCAGTTATAAGTGCACTCGTGTGTGTGTGTGTGCAGGGTTTATGCAATTTTATCATATGTGTGGCCTTGCATAACTACCACCACAATCAAGATTCTCCCCTGTAACCACTGCACAGGGCTCCTTTGTGTTACCCCGTTATAGTCACACTCATTGTCTCCCATCCATCCCTTAAACCCTGGCAAGACAAATCTGTTCCACATATTTATAAATATATTATTTCATAAATGTTACATAAATCAAATCATGAAGTTGTGTATCCTTTTGATATTGTTTTTTTTCACTGGACATAAGTTCCCTGAGGTTTATCAGACTGTTGCATGAATCAATAGTTCCTTCCCTTCAATTACTGAGTAGCATTCTATGACATAATTCATATGTATATATATATAGACACATATCTATATTCATCCTAGTTTTGGCCTAGCATGAATAAAGCTACTTTGAACATTCATGGACAGCTTCCTGTGTGCAAACAAGTCTTCCTTTCTCTGGAATAATTGCCCAAGAGTGAAATTGTTGGGTCATATGGTAAGCCTGTTTTTAGCTTTGATAGGAAATGCCAAACTGTTTTCCAGAGTGGCTATACCATTTTACACCCCCAGCATCAACATATGAGTGATCTAATTTCTCTACATCCATAGTAGCATTTGGTGTTATCACTATTTTTGGTCTTAGCCATTCTGGTAAGTTTATCTTGATATATTGTAGTTTAAATTTGCATTTCTCCAATAGCGAATACTGTTGAACATTCTTTCATGTGTTTACTTGCCTTCTGTGTATCCCCTTGGTTAAGTGTCTGAGATGTCTTTTGTCCATTTGCTAATTGCATAGTTTGTTTTTTAATGTTGAGTTTTGAGAGCTTTTTGTATATTCTAGATATAAGACTTTTGCTGGATATGTGACATGCAAATCTATTTAAGAGAGTCTTTGTCCAAGTGAAAGTTTTACTCCTAGATCCCAAAGATTTTCTGTGATTTTTTTTCTAGAAATTTAACTAAACTTGCATTTTAATCATTTTAAATGTCTGCTCCTGTATCCAGTTAGGATTGCATTTCTTTACTATCATCTAGATTATTTAGAGTGTTTTTTGCTTTCTTGAATTGTGTTTATGTCTTCCAAGTTCTACACAATCACTACCCAAAAGTCCTGTTGTTCAGAAATAGGATCAAAAAAGATTGTCCATTGGGGACTTTACTTAATCCACAGGATTTAGTCCATCTCTTGGTCTGTTTGCAGCTTATTAAGTGAGGTGATGTCCCTGGAGGGCCAAATTGAAAAGCTGGAGTCACACCAGGACCTTGACCCTGATCAGGGGTCAAACATTGAGGTAAGCTGGCGGCTTGGACAAGAAGATCTGGGAGGCTGTCGGGACTCTGCCACCTCTTCCCACCCCTTTGATTGTTTGACAGGTCAGAACGAGAATTCAAACCCATCTTCTGTCACAAGGAGAGCTCCCTGGTGGTCAGTTCTGAGCGTATTTCACCTGGGTATCACCACCACTAGCCTCTAACAGCACAAAAAGGCTAGACTTTTCTTTTCTACCTAGACACTCAGACAGACAAATTTGGCAGGTGTATATCTTGGTGCTATCTTAAGATAATGATGAGTACCTTAAGGGAAAACTTCTCTCCTTAATATTTATACCCCAGCACCTAACAGTACAAAGACGTGCAGGAAATACACATTAGTGAGGAACTGCATCGTTGGAATCTAAGAGAAATTGAATGTCTTCGTGAAGAGTGCTTGGGTTGGTCTTCACAGTTCGCAAAGTTTTCCTGTTGTTTCGTCTCCTTGCATTTCTTAGAGACTCTTTTCTGAGAATGGTTTAATTTTCCCTTTTTAACAGAGTCGTCGAATGTTAGAAAGGTAGTGACCAACTGTGGATAAGAATTAGACTTCAGAGCCCTGGCTGATAATTTTTCTTCTGTACTAAACTTCAGGCATTTGAAGAAAAGTCTCTAAAAGTGGAAAAAGTCTATGTCTAACCTCTTTTTTATTGAAATTGACAGCCTCTGCTTTAGTCCAAGCCAAATTTAAATTAAGTGGATTTCAAAAGAAGTAAAAGAGAAAAATGCCTCTTTTATTGTAGAAAGGTGATATTTATTTAGACCCCTCACATATTAAAAAGCCATCTACAGATTTATCACTAAGGGAAAAAAATACCTTTAACTAAGATTCAGGCCAATATTTTAAAGTAGCAACCTCATTTTGGCTAGTTGAAGAGTTTTTTTCAATATTTTGGGCTTTGGAAATTGCAAAGTATGAAGAAAGGGAAGAGGACAAGGACCAAGAAATATTCTGCCTTAAAAATTTCCTCCAAAAGTCAGCTGTACGATAAGAATGTGGATTTCAGCAGGAGGGAAGATAGGGAAGGATGGATATCGTTAAGAATGAAGAGAAAAAGACAGAGGACCACAAAGACAAATTTAAGTGAAATAAAAAAAACAAACCAACAAGGACTTGGAATGATATGAAAAGGGAAAGCATCGCAAATACATATGGAGATTCTCTGTCCTGGAAATGCACAGCTTTGTACACGCTCTGAGAAAACAGGCACAGACTTGAAAGCCAGCAACAACCCAAATATCCACCAACTGGTGTGTGGATAAACTGTGGCACATGCTATATGATGGAATACTACTCAACGATAAAAAAAACAATGGACTTCTTAATCATTCAGCAGCATAAAGAATCTCAAATGCATTACACTAAGTGAAAGAAGCTGGGCTCAGATTACAGACTGATGTAACATTCTGAAAAAGGCAAAACTATAGAAACAGAAGATAGATTAGTGTTTTCTAGAGTCCAGTGGGGAAAGGGAGGAGGGGATCAACAAAGGGACACATGGAAATTTTGGGTGTGATGGAAATATTCCATATCTTGTGGTGGCGATTGATTACATGACAGTGACAAGTAGGCATCTGTCAAAATTCATAGCACTGCACACCTATAAAAGGTGAGTTTTACTCTATGTAAATTATGCCCCAATAAACGCGACTAGTAAAAATCGACACAGGTTCGGTCCTCAGTAAGACTAAAGGCTGATGGGAAAGGCTGTGTAAAAACAAATGCAGTGACATAATAAATAAGAAACTTTAAGTGTAATTATTTCAGAAGCCAAGTCGGGAGGGATGGCTGTAGGTTTACTCTGCAGAGGGAAAAGTGAAGATTGTTAGAAAGAAATATAGGAACAGTAAACAAAGGATGGGAAAATGAAAGGAGGAGTAAGTTAATCAAGCTAAAGTAATATCACATGTATTGGCTCATTTATTTCTAAAGAGGAAATGGGATGACTCAGAAAGGCATGAAAAAGGGAGGGGGAAATTGGTAAAAGTATTTTAACACACGCACACACACACACACACGCACCAGGAACAAATTTAAAAGAACTTTAAGCTGAGGAGAGGACTTCGAGGTGGCCTTTGGGTGTTGCCTGATATTGAGTGAAGTTCAATGCCCATGAAGCTTTCTGAAATCTCCATACAAACATCTCAACTTTCATTCTGAGACTGATTCTACCTCAGTTATCTTTGGTACAATTATCTTTGGTAAATACTGTGTAAAGATACTTACTGTGTAAATTAACTACAACAATGTAAAATGCGATGATCACATCACAGCCTCTTTCCAAATCATTAAATCACACAATTCAGGAGTCAGTGATGAATGAACTCGGTAAAAGAAGGGTGTAGACTGTATATTCTCTCTAAGCAGTCTGAGGGTAAACACTTATTACTAGTATCCAACCAGGAGAATGGCCACTTACATAGGATGTGGCCAGTAGTATCTTGTTGATTTAGTGTTGATTTTGGAGATCAGCACTCAGAGCAGCATGGGGAAAAAAAACCAAAAACAAAACAACAACAAAAACCCAGCTTCTGTTAAATCTCTACCCATTTGATCACAACTGAGCTTTCTTCTAAAAATCGCCATTTGTTTCGTTTCAATTCCACACATCATCATTCATTCATTCATTACAACGTTTGTTCTGTATCCTTTTGTTTTGAAGAAGAAGATCGCGGAGATCAAAAAGCACATGGGAGAAATGGATAACAAATTTGTCCAGGTAATGATAAGATGGCTTTGTAATTAAGGAAGAAAAACAGTTCTTGAAAGAAAGCTCAGATTCAGAGAATTTTAGTGAATGGAATTCAAAATTCAATGAAAGAGACCGAGAATTTTAGAAAGGAACTTAGTTAGTTACGCCCGCATTTTCAGAAGAGAAAAGCAGAACTCAGAAACATGAAGTGACGTGCCCATACTCCCACAGGAAAAGAACCAGTCTTGCTCTTCCTCTCCCATTAAAAACATATATATTCTTTCCTTCTAACAAAAATAATGCATGCTTATTTAAATAATTAAAACATTATAGAGCTATTTCATATAAAAATAATCCTGCTCGCTCAAAAACAGAGTGAACATTTTAGTATATTTACATTCTTCTAAATGTCTATGTACATATTTAACCTATTATTATAATTTTAATGGGATTATATTATATATATATTAGTTTGCATCTTGCCTTTTTTCACTTAGCATTTTTTCTTCAACAACTTTCTAGGCCACTAGATGTCATTTTAGCTTTTTCCTGTTTATATAAGGCAGGGTTTGATTTTTGGATTTATTCAATTTATTTTGTTGGATATTTGTGGCTTTATAACCAACATTTGCCATTACAAACTACGCCTCAGAAGTCCATACTTTGCCTGCTTTTGCAAGTAGCTCTTTAAGAATCAATTTCTGTAAAGGGCACCCCCTAGAACCCCAGAGCTATCTTGAATCCCAGAACCCTCTTTTCCCTGCTCTAGCTCTGCTTTTCAAGGTATCCTGCAAGTCTATTGTGGAATGATCAACTTAAAACCTTTAAAAGCATTATTTACCCCAGACATAGGTGCAATTGGCATTCATGTCCTAGAAGGGGTTGGTTTGCTTTCAGTCTGTGTCTTGATCTTACTGATAGAAACCAACCCAAACCATCTGCCATCTCTGCCTGACAGTATAAAGGAGACACGGGAAGAAAAGAAACTTTTTGTGGACAGCTCTTTTGCTAAGCCATAATGCCCGGATAACATAATGAGGACTTACATGTATATATTACAGAATTTAAAATCTTTAAAAGAAAATACGACTTTCTTTTTTCCCTCGGAAACAGATCATGTTTCTCCAACTAATGTCCTGGTGGAAATTTTTTAAGGAGCAGGGAGAAAATAATGAATAGAAAAAAAGATGGCTTATAATAAGCTGCTATTGTGTAAATGTATACTTCTCAAGTATTGAAAATAATTTTTTTTAACATTTTGGTTATACCTCCTGCAGGTTACCATGATTGTTCTAAGAGGAAGGGTTTTACTGAATAAAAGTAGGTTTCAGTGAAGCCACTTTACAGCTACGTGCTATCAAGAATGAGTAAGGTTTTATCATATAAACCAAAAAATATGATTTATGTTCCACCCCAAATTGTGGCTGTCTTTTCAGGCAGGTGCTTGTAATGAAGCCCATGAATTAAAGGAAAAACTCATTGTGAGAATAGAGGTAAGATTTCACAGTTACACGAGTTCAAATGTTGATAAAATAAGATGATTTAACTTTAACTACAGGGGTAATTCTTTCCCTTGAAGTTGACAGCATACCACATACTCTTTCTAGACTTTTCACCTTCTTCTCCCTCTCTGACCTTCTGCTTTGGGCCTACAGAACGTCTCCCAGGTGTGGTGTGCTCCCAGGCTCTCACACCCCTGGACTGCCTCTACAGCTCCTCCCTCTGGTGCTTACCCCCCACGTCCACACATTACCCATTCAGGTCTCAGCTCAGATGTCAGCTCATCTCCCAGCCCCTGCTATTCTCCCCTGCCAGGAAAAAATGACTCCATCTCTGAAGTCCTCCCACAAGATTTTATACATCAAGGTAAATGAAAATAGGTAAATGAAGCAATGAAGGAATGAATTCCCTGTCACTCGTTCAGAGGTGCCTAAACATCCCACCCATCTAGACTAGATGTCCCACACCCAGACCTCAGCGACTCGGTCTCATCACCTTATCTACTCTCTCGTCAGCATATTTTAATCTATAATATCTAATGAATATGTGTTTGGTTGTTTATTGCTTGTCACCTAACCGCTATAAACACACATGTGATCCCTTGTCTGTTTTGTTAAAAAACGCACATGCAGTAGAATGCCCTTTCCTTATCTATTTTGGGAACCGGTTTATCTTAGAATAGTGCCTGGTAGGAATCCCTCAATAAATATGTTTTGCATCAATGAACTAACTGAATAGATGAATTCAATACAAAGATAATTATCTTCCTACATGAATAACCCAGTAGTTAAAGATTAGCGTGTGGGCTTCATTTAATTTTCTACCACGAATGTCAGTCTCTTTCATTAGTGGAGTACAGCAGGGACCTCGTCACATGACTCACATGTGACTTGCAATGTGGGCCCCTAAAGTGTTTTAGAGGAAAAACACTCTGCATGATCTACAACGAGACGGGCAGAACACCTCGAATCGTTTTTTTAAAATGATAGTTGATTGCTCTTTTTTCCCAGAACTTTTGCAAGGACATGACTCTGCTGAATACAAAGTTGGGGATGTACCAAGTGCAAGAAGGGAAGACAGACTCTCATAGCCCTGAAGAAATGGCCGTGGAAGGAAGGGAGCCCCTGCTTCCTCAGGCGCCACTCCCGCCCTTAGTGCAGAACGCTCCTCCCCGCATCGCAATGTGGTAAGCGAGAGACAGGGGCTCCCGGGGCTGCACAAAGGCCAAAAACATGTAAAGATTATAGTAAGACTGAATTTCTTCAAGGATTGACTAAAAAACTTGTTTGACCTCCTTTTATAAATTATTTATTCTTGTTCTTTGAAAGTCTATTTATTTATTAAGTCGTAGTATTTTTTCGTATTATTTTCGACGTGTATCTGTTGCATGAGATATATAGATACAGAGATTTCTTTCTTATTGCTTTGGATAACTCTATATACATAAATTTTAAAGGATGGTGTCTGCAACCTATGATGCAGCCACCCCCAAACGAGAGAACATACCTGCTAAACAGATTTGAAAACCTTTGTTTGCTGGACAGGATGTCTCTCCCTTGGAAGGGATTGAAGACTGGCAAATTCTGACTCTTTGGGTCTTTTTCTGGAGATGCCACACCATCATATATACTTTGAGTAGTACCCCACTCTAAGGAAACTTTTTTGACTCTTTATCTCCCACCACCAACCCAGGTAGAACCCTCAGCTCTCTCTCTCGTGTGTGTGCACTGGACCTGGCACGTAACCTGGACATAGTGCCCACAGCGTATTACTGCAGTTAAATTGTTTCCACTCTGTCTTCTCCTAATACTCCCTGGGCTACTTGAAGGCAGGAATCTCGATCACTTGGGGACATGAAATGTAAAATGTGTTCATCATGCTCAACAAATATTAGGTTAATAAGTGAGGAGTGCTGTCAATGAGTATGGTAACACAAAGCCCCAGAAAGCTTCCTCCTCCCAGAAAGATCAATGAGAGCAGGAAAAAATTGTCAGAACCAACTTTTTCAGAACTCTGGAAATCAAGAATTTAGTATCCAGAATAGATAAAGAACTCTTAAAACTCAACAAAGAAGAACAACCTAATTTTTTAAATGAACGAAAAACCTGAATAGACATTTTTTTTCAGAGAAGATACACAAATGGCCAATAAACACATGAAAAGATGCTCAATGAAAAAGCATAATGAGAACATCATTGGTCATTGGGGGAAACGCAAATCAAAATCACAAGATACCATTCTGTACCACTTAGAAAACTATAATTAAAAAGATGGACAATGACAAGCACTGGAGATGATGTGGAGAAATTAGAACTTTCAGACGGTGCTACTGGGATTGTAAAATGGTGCAGCCTCTTTGGAAAACAGTTTGGCAGTTCCTGAAAATGTTAGGCTACCATGTGACCCACTCCCAAGTATGCACCCAAGGAACTGAAAATATATGTCCACACAAAAACCTGCACAGAAATGTTCATAGTAGCTAAAAAGTGGAAAGTATATAAATGTCTATCAGCTGATAAAGAGGTGAACAAAATGTAGGCTACCCACACAGCGGAGTATTATTCAGCCACACACAAAAAAGTACTGATACATGCTACAACATGAATGACCTTTGAAAACATTATGCTAAGTGAAAGAAGTTAGACCCGAAAGGCCTCACGTTACATGATTCTATTCACATGAAATGTTCAAAATAGGAAAATCCATGTAGCTAGAAAGCAGATTAGTGGTTGCCAGGCCTGGAGATAGTGGGAAATAGGGAGTGACTGTTCTGGGATATTTTGACAAAAATTCCTGTAATTAGAAAGTGGTGATGGTACAACCTTGTGAATAAACTAAAAGCCACTGAATTGTACACTTTATAAAGGGTAGATTTTATGGCATGTGAAGTATATCTCAAAAACAGACAAATAAACAAATAAGGGAATGCCTTTCTTTTTTTTTTTTTCAACATTTTTTATTGATTCATAATCATTTTACAGCGTTGTGTCAAATTCCAGTGTTCAGCACAATTTTTCAGTCATTCATGGACATATACACACTCATTGTCACATTTTTTTCTCTGTGATTTCGATGATCACTTAATTGTGTTGTATGGGCAGATAATCCAGTTGAGTTGATCATCTTTCATCACATCATTACATTCTAGTTAAGATTGCTTAAGACTTGTCAGCGAACTGGAAACACACACTGGTTCCGTTTAAGCATATTTATACATTAACTCTTTGGGGAACATTTATCTTGCAGACTAAGTCAATTATTTTGCTGTTTTTAGCTTCAGAGAGTGACCTCTCCCTGTTATTATCCCCAATTCCTCAGTTCTCTTGTAGTCTTCCCCTCTGTATTGATCACAAATAATGTGAACATTTTGGAAAAGATTAAAGGTTTTATCCATGGCAAGTTTTGAAAAACAAGGTAATAGTATTCAAAAATCAAAAGAATGTTTTTAATCCTTACAGAAGATAAACTCAAAATGAATGAAATTGTAAATGACACTAATTTTTGGTTCTACACAGGTGATATCATGAAAAAACTTATTTCCATTTAGCTGCTATGATGTTTTCCAAAGAAAAATGTCTGAACCTTTTAAAATATTATACATGTTCTTTTATTTGCCTAATAGTAAAAACTTTTAAAAATTTTGTTATATCACATTGACTTGTAAATAAAAGTCAAATGATTCAGTAGTGTCAAAAAATAAATCTGTCCAATCAGTTTTGCTTTAAGTTCTCAAAAATACAAAATCCATTTAAAAATATTTAGTGTGGGAGAGTCTGCTGGAAAGATGAAAGGATGTAGACTAAAAAATAATAAAGATTTGACTCTCTTAGTGAAAAAAAAATCTGAATCCATCCATACCTTGAATGTTCACTGAAAGAAAAAACTAGAAGGACTTATCTAAAACAAAACAAAAACCACACAAACAAGCAAAAACCACCAAATAAAATAAAACTAAAATAAAAGAAGAAGAAAGAATGAATGAGTGACTGGAATAGACATAAGAAAGGAAAAAGAAAACCTCGCTGATTGTGTTAAGCTACATTATAGCTAAGTGATGGGATTGTAGTTTTGTCATTTCTCTGTTTCCCAAGCTATCTGTAATTTAGGGGAAAAAAATTTTTCTCTTTAAAAAAATTAATGTTAAAATGTCCCAGTTTAGTATTTCCAAAGATGATCAATTTTGGAATTTGGGAAGAATGGTGTTCATTTAGTGGATATGTTTTGGTAGTGAGCCATTTTTCTTTTCACAAGAAAGAACAAATCTAGACTCGGTGCTCCTTGAGGACAGACCATCTCTGCTTCACCTTTGCAGCACTTGAAGCCTCTTCCTAATAGACTATTTCAAGAACACTGGCTCTTTCGTAAGTGTGTGAAGTAGAAGCAATTTTTTTGTGTAACTGCCAAGAGATAGCCAGTGGCAATAACGCCACGAAACTTGGCTCAGGTTCATGGAATCCACCAAGTTGGGCCACACAAAGCAGAGTGTTGGCCAGCTTTAACTCTGCTCTAGATTTGCTCTTCTGAAACGTGTCCCAGATGGTCATTATCGCCAGGTAACTGGATTATCTGTGACATTTCTTTTCTTCTTTGTGCTCTTCTGGGTTTTCCAGATCTTCTACCTTAATCGTGTATTGCATTTATAATTTGAAGATAATAACGCAAAGACTTAAAAGCAAATTAAATAAAGTACATCATAAGTGCAGCCCAGAGGGAGGAGCCTCAAAGACTTGAAAAATCTTCTGTTACTTTAAAAGGGCAGGTCTGGTGCTAGGATAAAACTGGTTTTTACTGGTGATACAGAGACCTGCATTCCACTTGTATTCTGTATCTCGAGGAAAATCTAACTGCCTGTGTCTTTATTTCTACCAAAATAGGGATCATATACCTCATAAGTGAGGTAAAGATGGTAAGAATTGCTAGAGGGTGAGAAGAGCATTTATCTTCTTTTTTTAAATAATAGTTGACTTACAATATCATGTTAGTTTCAGGTGTACAGCAAAGTGATTCAGTCATATGTATTTATATATATATTATTTTTCAGATTCATTTCACTATAGGTTATAAGATATTGAATATAGTTCCCTGTGCTATACAGAAAATCCTTGTTGTTTACCTATTTTATATATAGTAGTAATGTATCTGCTAGTCCCAAACTCCTAATTTATCCCTCCCACCTCCTTTCCCCTTTGGTAACCGTAAGTTTGTTTTCTATGTCTGTGAATTATGTCATCGGTTGTGCTTCAATATTCAATATTTTGTAAATTATTCTCTATTTAAAGTTACTACACAATAATGGCTATATTGTCCTGTGCTTGTACAATATAATCTTGTTGCTTACTCATTTTATACATAGTAGTTTGTGTCTCTTAATCCCCATCCCTGTCTTGCCCCCCTCCTCCCTCTCCCCACTGGTAACCACTAGTTCGTTCTCTGCATCCTTCAGAATGCTCTTAACACAGGTGTTTTCTTTCCTTGCAGGAAACGTGTACTGAGTCTTGTCATCATGTTTTGTATCCTCACCTTCACTGGACTTTCATGTTACATACTATTTTTTGATGCTACATTTATCTTTGAAAGGGTGCTCCCTGTTATGCTTGGGCGCCGCAGGATGTGGGAACTACGGGAGATCATTGCACCTTTCTTGAATTTGGAAGTGGAAGACTTGTTACCCTCCTAAAGATACAGAAGTTACTGTTACCCTACTGACTTTCTTCCCAATAAAATTCTGGCTGTTCCTGTATTATGATGGTTAATTTGTTTTTTTTTGAAAAACACAATAGGGTGTTTTGCAAAGAATTTTGTAGTTATGTAGGAGTTGGTTGATAACAGACAGAAAAAATGAAAACAATTTATCTTTATCCTCATGACTCACAATGACATCCTGAATCATTCCACACACTGTTTAAAACATATACTTCAAACTACTAGCCTCTCTTCTCCCGCAGCCCTGAGGACACTGAGACTATCAAGCATTAGCTTTCATGGGTGGTTATTTCCCCCATTTTGACTTCTGATGTCAGAGAAAAGAAAGCTCAGAATTCCTCTCCACTTTGACTTCAATTGAATTGGGGCCATATTTTGGTTGGAGTGGACATTTCTTGGTTTTGCTCCCTAACCTTCATTTCTCCTTTTTGTAACAGCATCCTAATTTTGCTTTGAAGGGACTTTCTGTCCTCAGTAAGTGTAATTGTAGGTGATCTTTCAGTCAATGCCTGCTGTCTTCCAAGTAACGAAAGTTGCAAATATGCTGAGTCAGACATTCTCTAAGAATAAGAATTTTCAGAAGAATCATACAAAGAAGGGAAATGATGGGAACTTCAATTTTGTTAACTAGCTTATATCTTTTTCTGCTAAAGGTAGCCAGTGTTGGTTCTGTTATTTATTTTTTTAAAAATGAAGTCTAATTGATGCAGTAGTTTTGTTTTCTTTTTGTTTTTTGGTTTTTTCAATTGAAGTATAGTCAGTTTACAATGTGTCAATTTCTGGTGTACACGTAATATTTCAGTCATACTTATACGTACATGTGTTTTCTTATTTTTCATTGTAGGTTACTACTCACATTTGAATGGGTCTTGAAGGATGGATATGACAGAGAGAAGGAAAAGGCATTTCAGAGAAAAATATCATGAGTAAAACTTAGAAGCCATGGATATAAGGAAGAGACAGGAAACTTAGTAGAATATATTGCTCAAAATAAGAGTTAGTATGTTCCTCTATTTTTAAAAAAAAGTTTTAAAATTATATACAGTTTTTAAAGGTTATTTCCATTTACAGTTATTACAAAATATTGGCTCTGTTCCCCACGTTACACAGTACATCCCTGAGCTTATCTTACACCCAGTAGTTTGTGCCTTCCTCTCCCCCACCCCTATTTTGCCCCTCTCTCCACCTGTGCTGGTAACAACTAGTTTGTCCTCTATATCCGTGAGTCTACTTCTTTTTTGTTATATTCATGAGTTTGTTGCATTTTTCAAGATTCCACATATAAATGACAACACACAGTATTTGTCTTTCTCTGTCTCGCTTATTTCGCTTAGTGTAATGCCCTCCAAGTCCATCCATGTTGCTGGGAAATGGCAAAATTTCATTCTTTTTATGGCTAAGTAGTATTCCATTGTATGTACATACCACATTTTCTTTATCCATTCATCTGTTGATGGACATTGAAGTTGCTTCCATATCTTGACAATTGTAAATAATGCTGCTATGAATACTGGGGTGCCTGGATCATTTCAAAATGGTGTTTTTAATTTTGGGGGGTTTATACCTAGGAGTGGAATTCCTGGGTACTTCTATTTTTCGTTTTTTGAAAAATCTCCATACTGTTTTTCCCAGTGGCTGCACCAATTTACATTCCCACCAACAGTGTAGTTTTCACATTCCTTTAAAGCAAACATTCTGCCTCGTTCATTCTATGGTCATTCTGGAATAGCGATGCCCAAATACTGGTCCTCAACTGGATGTATCAGAATCGCCTGGAAAGCTTCATACATTAGAGATTTCCAGCTCCATCCCCAGATATTTAGATTCAGCAGAACTAATATGGGACCTTGGAACTTTATTTTTAAAAATCTCCCCAGCTAAATTCAATACAAATCTGAATTTGGGAACCATGCCTTGCCTTAGGGCAATGCTGTGAACATAGTAGCTACTCAATGTACACCTGTTGAAATTAATTAAATTAGGTATTATTACCTTGTGGCCTCCCTATCACTTCATCCAGTGCTCCATTCAATATTTGTTCAATAATTTCCATTATAGCTTTTTTCCCAATGTCCCCTTCTTCTCACACCCTTGAAGTAATCATCTCCTTTACTATCTTTTTGTTTTAACATTCCAGGAGTCACCAGGTCCTTGCAACTCTTCTACAGAAAATTTTCTCAGATCAGCCCCCGTTCTTTGCATTTATAATGTTTCCATTCTGATAGGCCTTATCGTACAAATGGATTGCTGCCGAGAAAACCCAGCTTGTTTTCACTTCCATAAAGCTGCTATTATTCACACAACCTTAGAAAAGAATAGACTCCAAACGCCACTTTTTTCCTGATAGTGTAGCCAGAAAACGACACCAGTCGCTAGAAATGTGAAATTTGCTTATGAGTGGTTCTCAAGCCACAATGCCTAACAGACTTCCACAAAGAGATATTTAATTATGTATTTGTCTGAGCATCAAATCCAGAAGTTCTGAATCTTTAGAGCTAGGATGAACCTCTAGTATCTTCTATTTTAATCATTTCCCCTAACAATTTTTGCGGATCAAAGTTTAAGAACTACCATGCTATGCTATGGGCAAAAGTTGCCTGGGATTGCAATTTGGCTGAGATCCCATACAAGGTTAGACAGAGGTGAGTAACTTTTAGGGGCAGGGAGGGGGAGAGGAGGATGGGTGAGGTAAATTCCAGGATACATGGAAAGAGAAAAAGCCAAAAGCTCTGGGAACCATGAGTTTTATATTCAAAAGGTCTTGTGATAGAGAGTATGCTGACATTAAAAAAAAGTCACAGTTAAACTTGTTTATAGATAAAAAGACTATTCAGATTGATTTGTGGACAGAACTTGACGTATTTTTTTTAATAATCTTAAGGTAAATTCCCATAGTTTCAGCTGATTTATTTGTAAAACAAAAATAAGTATTGAGTTTCAGCATGTCAAATAAAACTTAGTCTTGCAAGAACTATATAGCACTAGTGATGAAGTAAGGTAGGGAACTAGACTCTTTAAAAAAGTAAGTATTTTACTAACTTCCAAGACACATTTTATTAGGATTTTGACTAGGAATAATTTTCCCTGGGGGATAAGTATCCTTAAAGTGGAAATGGTGCTATTTCCCATCAATTTATTTTCAATTTGTCAGCATCTCAAGCAGGAAAGCTGGAAGTCACAACGTTCCACTCTACTGAGAGAGGGAAATGTTTTGTAACGTACTGTAATATTAGGATGATGTAAATGTCTACATGTGGTAATTCAGCTCAGTGCTTTGGTTGATTGGGATTTTCATTTCAGATCTTCAAAATGCCATATTCAATTGAGTTAACTACTATGCTCAAGATCATGTACTAAAAATACTGGTATCACGTTACAAATACGGTCTTGGTTTCGAACTAGGAGGAAGGAAAATGAGTGGTCACAGAATCACCATTTGTTGTTTGTTTGTAGTGAAGACAGCTATGCTGTAGTGAAAAGAACTTTCAACTTGGATGAGAGTTGAATTAAACTCACAATTGGCTGTCAGCAGGATGCCAGTCTCCACCTTTCCCCCACCCCCACATCCCCACCTCAGATGGGATCAAAGCAGTGTTCCCCAGCTGCCCAGAGTGTTGGCTGCTGAGAGTTCACAGCATCCTAGGTGATGGCTAGGGGTGCAGACTTGACTCTTTATGGTTGGTCCTCAGTTGAAAGGAGGGACAAAAATGATAGGAGCTCTCAGTTAATAATCACATCTTTGTTTACAACACACGTATATTGAGGAAAATAATAACTGCCTCATGAGAGGGTTGGATTAAAGGACCTGATATTTAATAGGTAGAAGGGCATTGTTATTATTACTGTTACTGTTATTATTACTGTTGTTATTATTACTACTATTATTATCTTGGGCAATATTTTTAATTAGAGATTATCTAATTAAGAATTCTGGGTCTGATCTAATAGGGAAGAAATGAATCTGAACATACTTCCTGATAGGCTACATCTTGCAGTAAAAATGAATGAACCACAAATTTTGACTCCTTTCTTTTTCATGATCCCACTCACGGTCCAGCAGGAAATCTTGTTGATTCTACCTTAAAACACATGCAGAGTACAACCACTTCTCACCACCTCCCTGATACCAGCTACCCTGCAAGCCACGATTATGGCAAACACCTGCTAATTCTCTCTTTGATTTTCCCTGATTCTACCGTTGCACAAATATAATTCAGCAGTCAGAATGATACGGTTATAAACATAGGTCAAATCACATCACCTCTCTGTTCCAAAACCCTTCAGTGGCTGCCTATTTCTTTTAGAGTAGAAGCCCAAGTCCTTACAATGGGCTTCAACAACCTGTCTTTGGCCCTCCACCAGCTCTCTCACCTCATCCTGTTCTGCTTGCCTGCTTAATCACACTGCTCCAGTTTCACTATCTTGCTGTTCCTGGAGCCCATCAGACACACTTACCTCAAGGGCTTTGCCCTGGCTGGCCCCCCGACCTGGCAGCCTCTGCCCCCGAATATCCACATGGCTCACTCCCACAGTGCCTTCACCTCTTAGCTCAAATGTCATCTTCTTGGCTACCATCAAAGAGGCAGATAATAGCCAGTGTTGGTGTGGCTGTGGAGCCATTGGAACGCTGACATATTGCTGATGGCAGTGTAAACTGATACAGCCACTTAGGAAAACAGTTCTAAAAAGTTAATGTAGAGTTAGCATTTGACCGAGTAATTCCACTCTCCTAGGTTATCCCCAAAAGAACTGAAAACAAATGTCCGCATGAAAACCTGTATATGAATGTCCACAGCAGCATTTGAGAATAGCTAAAAAGTAGAAACAATTCAAATATCCATGAACTGATGAATGGATGAACAAAATGTGGTAAATACATACAAGGGAGTATTACTCAACCACAAAAAAGAATGAAGTACTGATACATGTTACAACACGGATGAGCCTTAAAAAATTATGCCAAGTGGAAAAAGCCAGACAGAAGAGGTCACATATTGTATGATTCCATTTATATGAAATGTCCAGAATAGGTAAGTC